GGGAGTGGGGAAAGGGCAGTGAATCCCGTACTAAAACTTTAGGAAACTCGGCAGAAGATGAGGAGACGGGGAGAAAATGGGGAAGAAACCGGCCTTGGTAGCCATAGAACCGCAGAGGTTTTTTTTTTTTTTTGTAGAGACTGGGTCTCGCTGACTGGTCTCGAACTTCTGGCTTCAAGTGATCCTCCCTCCTCGGCCTCCCAAAGCGTTGGGATTACAGGAGTGAGCCGCTGCGCCGGACTTAAATCTTCTTAATGGGGCCCTCGGCAAGGCCGCTCTTCGCAGCGAGTACAGAGCTTAGGCAAAAATGCACCTCGCACTCAGCTCTCCGCGGTCATCTTACTCCCCAGAAACACGAGGCCGTTATCTCCGGAAATTTTTAAAGACCGGTCGACCGCCCCTCCACGCCCTCCCGCCGAAGGGCCAGTCATCCTCTGTGCCTGCCGCCTCTCCCCCACAACATCGGTCTCAAGAAAGCATCTCGGAGTCGCCCGAACGACAGAGACGTGCCCCCTGTGGTGCCGGGTACCCGGCCCGCGCGAGGGCCTCACCTGTGGATAGAGGTGCTGCATGAACCTCTCCCGCGAAACGCCCTCGAGCCGGGGAACCAGGATGCGCGGCCCGGCCATATCTGCTTACACTTGCCTCTTCCCGGTCCTGGGAACTTTGGTTCCAGCGCGCTCCACCGCGCGCCATCCGCCCGGAAACACAATCCGGGGAGAAAAGGTCCGTGAGGCCGGCAGACTCTGGAGAGCCTCCGGGACCAGGTAGACTCACCAGAGGTGGCAGCAACAAGCCACGTTGGCCCTCCAGCCTGCTTCTCTGACACCGCTGGGGTGGTTCCCCACCGACTCCCTTTCGATACTGCACAGGCAAGCAAGGGGTGAAAGGTCGTTAAGATGGCGCTGGCCGTTCGTCTGCGCCCCCAGTCTCTGCTCTCTCGATCGCTGCCCGGCGGGGCCGTCCGACTCCGGGCTCCCGGTGCCGCCGAGGGGAGGTTGCCGTTGGCCGGACTCTGCTACTTCTGCCGCTGCCGCCTCGGCGCGGGAGCCGCCCCGTTTTCCCGAAGCTCTTGGGCCTTGGCGCCACCTGCCCGGGGTCCCCGGCGGCCCGTGCTCAGCCCTCCGGGGCTCCCCGCAGCCCTCGCTCCTTTTCCTGCCCGCCCTCGGCGCAGCTACAGCACGGAGGAGCAGCCCCAGCCACGCCAGAAAACCAAGATGATCATTCTGGGATTCTCCAACCCCTTCAACTGGGTTCGGACTCGCATTTACGCCTTCCTTATCTGGGCCTATTTCGACAGAGAGTTCAGCGTCGCGGAGTTCTCTGAGGGCGCGAAGCAGGTGTGTTTATTGTCTGTCTCGCACGCGTTCAGCTATTATTCGCACACGGGATTTCTTCACCGGGGCCCAGACACAGTCTTCCAGCCGTTTCTTGACTTAAAGTAAGCTTCTGGGTGTATTTGCCTGGCCGCCGAGGAGGGGTTTCGTTGAGAGACCAGGGTGAAGCCACCCCAATTACCTTTTCACTCTCTGCAGGCTTCGAATCAGACAAAAAATGAATTCACAGCCCCTTTCTGCCACTTAAAAGCTGTATAGCCTCATCTTTTCTGAGCGTCATTTTACATATCTGCAAAATGTGAAAGACAGTGCCTGACACTTAGTATGCACTCCATAAATGTTTGTTGAATACATTGATGAATGGATAAGATTGAAGAATAAATGAGATGACATTTCCAAAGTGCTAAATAATGTCACCTTGGGTAGAGAGGCAGAACTTCCGCCAGCTATTTGACAGAGCTCTCTGCCCCTATTAAAGGATAACCTGGAGATGAACAGTTTTACCTTTTCACATAACTTACTGAAAGTGCCTGGTGACTGATAAGTGCACGGCACCCTGCACACAGTGAATATGTTGAATACTTAGCCCTTGATGATTCATAACCCTGGCTTTATCAGTTTTGTCCTTCTTTCTGAATGGTTGATGACACCTTGGTTTTCCCTTGCCACATAATGGTCACTTTGAGTCTTGAGATTATTTACAGGTTTTGTGTGTACATGCTTTTATCCAGCATGAAGGGCCATCTGTACCCTTCTTTTGACTCCCTCAGAGAGTGTACCATTCTCCAACATTGCAGAACTATTGATAAACCATGTAAGTCATAGTTTATTTCTCACGTCATACCTCCGTATACCTTGAAATTATGTCATCAGTGTAATCATTTTGCAATATTAGTTGTATACTGGCTTTGATATTTTTACTCTTAATTTATTTCAGATTATTTCCATAACCATGACCATTTGTATTTATTATGAGACCTATCAGTTGTACATTAAATGTTTGTCAACTTTATGTAATCAGTGGCAGTATTAATTCTTGCTACCCACTTCCCCAAGTCAACTCTTGAAAAAATAAAAACAAGAAAACTTGATTGATATGCCTAACTCAGCATCGTAAGTCTCTGCTCATGCTAGTTCTTACAATGTTTGGTTCATACAGGGATAAATTGAAGTGACCCTACTACTCCCTACAATGCCTGCTGAGCTTGTCAACCTCATAACACATCTATGACTGTACCAGCTCATTTATGTGTCAGCAAGGAATGGAAGTCATCTCCCCACCATGGACAGCAGTCAGGCCTTAGTCCTTGTGTCCTCTGGAAACAGAGGAGTGTGAAGCACAGTTTTGGTTGCTCTGAGCCTCTAGCCATTGGCTATTTTAGCCTCCCTCTTTGCTAGTAGGCAGGATTTCCACCTTCGTCAGCCAGTCTATATATACTTTTGCTTTGTGTTAGTCAATTTCTGTGCAGTTAGCCATCTGACTTTCCAAAAATAATATCTGGGGTCATTTGGTAAATATTTAGCAATTTCCTTAAATCAGTGGTTACCAAACACTATTAAGATTAAGCAAGTTCATTCGTCAACAAAGGTTTATAAAGACATGGTCAAAAAGCCCTCTCCCTACAACTATCGCGGTGCAACTGTACTTTCCCTTATGAGTATAATTCTAGGGCTTAGGAATCATCTGTTGCAAAAACTTCAGCTAGTGTATTTACTCTCAATGGACTCCACTCCCCCTTTCTCCTTAGGCTAATCTCCCAGGAATAAAATGTTATCTTGAGTTGTGACTCTCAACTAGATCATATTCATTATGATTTTTATTTTTTAATCATAGAACATGAAAATGAAAAGACACCTCTTGTAATTTAATTCTTCATTACAAATGATGAGATCAAGTTCCAGAAAGGTGAAATGATCAGCTCAAGAATGTAGCTAGTAAGAGTTGAGGTGCACTGCCTGTGACCCACTCTACGTGCATTCCTGGGCCTCCAGAGTCACTGGAGATCAGGATGGTTAAAAACAATCCAGGCAAGCTTTTACTTATCATATGAGCCAGAGAAATCGGTGGGCTGATGTTAACATAAGCCTTATGTTAGCTTCACAGACCTCATATGGCATTGATAAGTGCATAGGCATATAGTCTTTGTGATTGCCATTGAACCATATACTGTTTGTTTTCTTTTATCTTGCATGTACATTTAGCCTTCTCTGGGGGTGGAGGGGAAGCTATTTTCTAGAAGCCTGTGGAGATTGAACACTTCTGTGTCATCAAGACCTTACTAAGTTAGGCCCATGATGCTTCATTATTATCTTGTAGGATAATTTGCTTAGGTGGGATCTTCTGTGGCCATATAAACTGGAGTCTGATGGTTGAGTTTCATCATGATGGTTATGGGCTTTGTTTATTTTGCCCAAGTTATCACCCATCTTCCACACATGAAGGCCTACCAAAACACAGTATCTTTGAACTCTGAGTGCCTCAAAAGTGTTTGCAATGAGTCCCTGAATCCATTTGGGCATGTACATTTTCTCAAAATTAACTCCATTATTATATTCATTTGCCAAAGTTGCCATAACAAAGTACCACAGAGCAAGTGACTTAAACAACTGAAACTTCAACTTCAAGGTGTCAGAAGGGTTGGTTCTCCTGAGCCCTTTCTCCTTGGCTTGCAGATGGCCATCATCTTGCTGTGTCTTTGCGTGGCCTTTCCTGTACATGTGTGCCCCCTTGTATCTCTTTATGAGTTCACATTTCCTCCTCTTGTGAGGATATCAGTCAGATAGGGTAGACCCCATCCTAATGACCTCATTTTAACTTAACCGCCTCTTTAAAAGCCCTGTCTCCAAATACAGTCACATTCCAAGGAACTGAGTCTTAGATCTTCAACATAGGGATTTGGGGGAAGGAGGGCACAATTCAGCTCACAATATTTGTGCACTATCCTCTGTCTGAGTACCTGTGCATCTCCTTTCTCCTGCCAGTTCTTCAGATTTCAGCTTAGATGTTACTCCTTTAGGAAGCCCTCTGGTCTTCCCAGATTAGGTTAGATGGCTCTTCTGTATGCTCCAAAATCATTCTTTTCCTACCTCATCATAATTCTTTTTTTTTTTAAAGCAGGATTTATTGAGAGGACAGAAAAGCTACCACAGTGGGAGGGGATCTGAAGGGGTTGCTCCATAATTCTTAAACCTGTCAATTTACTTGGCTCTTTCCCCAAGCAGACTGAAAGCTCCTTGAAGACAGATAGGGTCTTAATTCAGTTTCATTTTTCATTCCTTGGAATGTAGAGAATTGCAATTGGGAACTTTCCCCTTGAAAATGGATCCTCATATTAAAAATTAGGATCCACTGTTTTAGACCGTGTAAACTCATTCCTTTTCTCCCACTCTCCCAAACCTACCGTATCTCTCTTAATGAGGTTCAGGCTGCAACCCTGATCTACAGACTCTCAGGACTCCCAGTACAGTCTAGACTGTCGCTTTCTAACTGCTACCTCTGCATGATTATGAGGTGGCTAATATCATAGTCAGATGATTATATTAAAAGGAAATGATTTTAAAAGGAAATACATAGGATTTTTATTAAGGCATTTAATGTATACACCACATACTATCATTTCCTAGATCCTAACAGTGGATACATAATTGGAAATTGACTCACTCACTCACTACTATAAGTGTGGGAAAGCCATACAAAAAATGACAACCAGCTCTGAAGGAGGAGACATACTTAGGTATTGATATATTAGTACTTAACTTTGTTTATCACATTTACCATAAAATCATTGTTGTTACACGTAGCCATTTAAGTATGAGCGTTTTGCACGGTGTTTTGAAATAATAATCCTAACCCTTCCCTCGCTGTTTTTTTCAAGGCTTTTGCTCATGTATCAAAGTTGCTGTCACAGTGTAAGTTTGATCTATTGGAAGAACTTGTGGCCAAAGAGGTATACTTTCAATTTCCTTTAAAAATAAATCTTGTATTCTCTTGTAATAGAATGATACACATTTTCCTTAGTTGTGCTTAAAAATAGTGTGTGTGCCAGCAGCCAAAGTAAAGTCTATGTATCTGTCCTTGTGAGTACCCTGGGTCATATAAAGGCATGGAGTAACTCCTGCTACTTAAGGCATAAGCACTTATTAATAAATATGATGTCTTTCAGGTATAGTTATGTAGAATGTTCTGTTAGAAATGATTTGGTTGAATAATTTGATGCATTTCAACCTTGCTTTTTGAGGAAATATTGTCAGCCTTGCTTTTGAGGATGGAAAATATAGTAGTAAGAGGGGGTACCCAAAAAACCCTGGAATTATCTTTTGGATGGTAAGCCCCTTGTAGTAAAGGCGTCTCCCACTAGGTAAGTGTTCTAGGAACCCATCGGCATCAGTATCCCAGCCAGTGTTGTTGTGAGAGGCTGCATTCAGCTTCAGTGAGTTCTTTTTTGGAGGTACTTCTAACACATTTGCTCATTTCATGATGAGTGATTTACAAGTGCACTTCCTCACACCATACTGTTTGTTCAGCAGTTTTTGACCAAAAACAACATGATCCCTGTGCCCCACCCTCCCTATTCACCAGATCTCATCCCAAGAGTTACATTTTTTTGTTTCCCCGATGAAAAAAGCCCTTAAAGGAAAACGTTTTGCTGATGTAGAAGAACTGAAACAAAAAAACGGCAGAAGCACTAAAAGGCATCAAAATTGATAAATTCAAAAACTGTTTAGAGCAGTGGAAAAAGTGTCTTGATCAGTGTATTGCATCAGACGGAGAGTACCTTGAAGGTGACTGAAGTTTAAACATGTAAGAATAAATACACATTTTTTATAAATAAATTCTGGGTTTTTTTGTGTCCCCCCCCTCATACATTTAAAAATGAGTTCAGAAAAATGTATTCCACGATAAAGATCACTTTTTGAAAAGATGTCAAAAGTTGAATTGGTGAACTAATAGTTTGCTTTTTCTAAACTTAGGTGCTACATGTATTGAAAGGAAAGGTTACCTCCCTACCTGACGCTCATAAAAATGCCCTTGCTGCTGACATAGATGATATTGTATATACATCAACAGGAGACATCTCCATTTACTATGATGAGAAAGGTAAGGCCGGAGCTTGGTCAACTTTAAATGATCCATAATTGTCCTGACAGGCTAAAAGAGCAAATAGTCACAAAATAGTGGGGTTTTGTTTGGATAAGCGGATATTTATAGAACTTCAAAGATGATGATATATTCTTTCTTTAAAGAGCTAGCTTTGAAAGACCAGCAATATGGTAATCATTTCTTATGCCTTTCTGGCTAGTACTTTTTCCCACTACTGATTCATAGGAGAGAACGTCATCACTTACGTTGATGAAAATAGTCTGTGTAGGATGAGCTGCTCCCATATCTCAAATTGAAAATATTGATGTTGTAGATTTTCTAACCCGAAGGAAACCATCAAGCATTTTAAAGCTGCACATTGTATGAAAGGAATAAAGAATTAAAAAGAAAAGAAAAATCAAAGTAGATGGTATCAGCTAAAGACTGCTTTGAAAAGTTTAACTGGAGGAATTTCAAATAGGTTTTATTTTTAAAAGGAAGTTTAGTGATTATCTGGTTCTTTTCCTTGTCCAGTACATATAGTTTCCCTATAGTATTCCTGAAAATTCATTGATTTATTCCTTCTACACATGATGGCCCTCCATATCTATGGGTTCCACATTTGTGGATTCAACCAACCTCAACTTGAAAAACAAAATATATATATGTGTGTGTGTGTGTGTGTGTGTGTGTGTGTGTGTGTATGAAAAGATAGTTGTGTCTGTAATAAACATGTACAGATTTTTTCCTTGTCATTCCCTAAACAATATAGTAGAACAACTGTTGTCATAGCATTTACATTGTAGTAGGTATTGTAAGTAATCTAAAGATGATTTAAAGTGTACTAGAGGGTATGTGTTATACAAATATTACCCTATTTTATATCAGGGACTTGAGCATCTGTGGAGTCTTGTGTCCACAGGGGGTCCTGGAATTAGTCCTGCGTGGATATCAAGGGACAACTGTATTTTCACATGTGTTAAGTGACAGCCACTTAAGAAATGTAGCCCTAGCTTATACACATTCAAGGCAGTGCTGATAGAAGAACTTTTTTCATGCACATATTTTTTTGAAACATTTGGAAAGGCATTTTTAGTGATAAGTTTTTTCTCTTTCCCAGTGTTTCAAGGTGCATCCCAACACCTTGGTCTCTAACTGATTTGCACACAGGCGGTTATCAGAATCACCAACCCACCAAAGTGAATTAAGGTAGAATAGAAGCCCTCTTCCTTCTGGCAGTTGGGGTTAAGTTAATTACTTAGCAGCAAAAAAATGTTTCTTTTCTCCTCATTTTTGGTTTGACAGTAGGTACTTGCCATAAGATTATTGTAATAATAATTTTAGAAAATGGCACTATTTGCAAATAACCCACTTAGTATACTTAGTAAAGTATGTGCTCCGTAGATAGTAGCTTTATTACTGAGATGCAAAGAGGAGACGTGTTATAAACCCTAAGAACTTTCTAAAATAAAAAAGTAGCAATACAGGTTTCTCAGGTTACACCAGAATAAGCACAAAACTTGATCTGTGACAACTGTATAACTATTGCCTTTTGGATTTCACTTTGGATATATGAATGATAGATTATTGTGATTTCTGTTTGTGTGTGTGTGTTTTTTTCTCTAAGGAAGGAAGTTTGTTAACATCCTGATATGCTTTTGGTATCTAACCAGTGCCAATATCCCCAGCGACACTTTAAGAGGAGCCAGTGTATTCCAGGTTAAATTGGGGGATCAGAATGTGGAAACTAAACAACTTCTTAGTGCAAGCTATGAGTAAGTATACTCTCATTGTTTCCTTTCTCTAGAAGATAGAAGGTAGTGTGAAACTATGAAAACTAAAGGATCTTTTAGGAAGAAAGTAATTGAAATTTGACAAGTTATTTCTGAAGAGAAAGGTCAGAAAGACACAGGATATGAAACAAGAATGTTAAGAAATTAGAAAGAGGGAATGTTGCTGAATTTAATAAGTGGTGTTTCAGCTACCTGTTACTGAGTAACAAACTGCCCCAAAACTCAGTGGCTTCAAACAGCCATTTATTTGACCTGCTATCTCACTGCTCAGAAATTCTTGATGGGCTCAGCTGTGGGGTTTTCTCTGCTTTCCTGGAGTCAATGTCACTGGATTCACTTCCACGATGGCTTCTTCACTCCCACCTGTGGCACCTTGGCACTTCTTGGCTTTCCCACAGTGTCTCATTCTCCAAGGTCCCTCTTTGCATCTTGGACCTGTGGTTGTTTCAGACTAGCCACATCTTTTACATGGTGTTCGGATTTCAAGATGTAGAAAGTGGAAGCTACTAGACCAACAGAGGGACTGCATCCAGAATTAGAATGACATTTCCACTATACTCTGCTGGTCAAAACAGTCACAGGCCCTGCAATGTTTAAAGGGGATGGAAAGACTGTACCACTTTATGGGGCAATGAACAGCAAGTCCACATTCCAGAAGAGCACATTGAGGGAAATATGGTTGTGGCCATCTTTGGAAAATAGACTCTGCCATAACTGGCATATGGACCACTCATTCTCTAGATACCTATTGATCTTCTGCATGCCACCTACTCTATTAGGGCTTCAGGTACAAAATGGAAGTGATACTGCCCTTAAGAAGATATAATCTAGTAGGATGTTAGCAACTTATTTAAAAGAGACATTACATTATACTTTTGTGCTAATAAAATTTGTAACAGTGAAATACTGGAGCAAATAAGTGGAGACAAAATTTAATATTAAGATAATGTTATTATATAGAATACTATTATTATACAAATTTGCTTTAAAATAACAAGCAAATCCCCAAAAATAGCCTAAGAAAGAAAATGTATTCTATTTCACTAAGGTAAAAGATAATTATATCCTTATTTTTTTCATGTTCCTTAGAAATATGTTTTCCAGTTTTGCTGTATTAGTAATTACTCAAAATATTTTTTATATTTAAAGAGTTAATCTGCTGAATTGGCTCTTTTGTATGACATAATTTATAAAGATCACTGTCATTTATACCAAACTTTGTCTCTTCTGGTGTTCCTTACTAAGACCATGGGCAACTCATAAACGTTTATGTTCAAGGTTGATTTAATGCATATAACCAAATTCTATTTATTTTTAAGTTGGTAACAGTATTATTTGAAAAAGTTTTTCCTGTATCTAGGTTATATATTTAAAGTGCTATTTGCATCACTGGAGTCCAGTTTATTTCTACTTGTATCAAGCATGTGTTGTAGCTAGTATTTTATTTTATTTTATTTTATTTTTTTGAGTTGGAGTCTCACTCTGTCGCCCAGACTGGAGTACAGTGGCCACTCCTGGCCACCACAGCCTCAACCTGCTGGGCTCTGGCGATCCTTCTGCCTCAGCCTTCCGAACAGCTGGAATTACAGGCGCACGCTACCACGCCCGGCTAATTTTTTGATTTTATTGTAGAGATGAGGTCTCGCCTGCCCAGGCGGGTCTCGAACCCACGGGCTCAGGCAATCCAATCACCTCAGCCTCCCAAAGGCACAGGATTACAGGTTGAGCCACCGAGCCTGGCTGTAGCTAGTATTATAAACAAAATAATATCCAAGTTTCTTTCAGGAGCTGGGATATGTTGAATGTAGATCATTTCATTAGAATACTCACTTTAGTTGAGAATGTACTTCAATATTGTGCATATACTTTTTGTGATTGAATTGGTAGGTTAAACTTTTTTTTACCATTAACCATTTGCTTGCTGCTAAAAGCTCCCCTACTATATACACTTGCAAATTATGAGGTTTTCTAAGAAGTATTTGGGTGTAAGATTCACATTATTTGCAATGTTCTTCCTAGATTTCAGAGGGAGTTTACACAAGGAGTAAAACCTGACTGGACCATTGCACGGATTGAACACTCCAAGTTGTTAGAATAATCTTTCTTGGAAAAATCAACTTATGGACTTTTAGCAATTGCTGTGAAAAACTAAGGAAGAAAAATTTTTGGATCATTTGATTTTCACTTAATCAAGTCTGTAAATTACTTTATGTTATTTTGAAATACTCCTTGCAGTATATTAACATGTTATAATAAAGCATTTTCCACAGATTGTTATCACCTTCTTTAAAAGTCAGAATTTTTTTAAAAACTACAATACATTGTTGGTGTCATATTCAGTATAATTTCCAATGCTACATGTATATGTGTAGATATACATGCAAACTATAATTTTATAGATATAATTTAAAATGTATTTTTAAAACTACCGAGATATTTCTAAATTAATAGTCCTTAAATAATTTTTTGTGGCCATTACATTTAATTACATTTATTCCTTTACTCCAAGTATGTGTAAGATTTATGTTAAAAAAAACACTGCTGTTCTTTGGTCCTCTTTGGACAATAGCTAGATGAGAAGGAATAGATGAAATTATAGCAGATTGGGCTCTGCAGAACTAAAATTCAGTGAATTTGAAGCATACTAAAGCACAAAGAGAAAAAGAATAAGATAGAATAGTGCCTTAGGCACCTGTGTTCTAATATACTATATCTGAAGTCCTAGATGTTGGGGCAGGGGAGACAAAAACAATGTTAAGAAGTAATGGCTGAAATGTTTCCTAACTGATGAAAACTGTGAACTCACAGATTCCAAGAAATTCAACAAGCAAGGTAATACACACATACACACACACAAATCTCATCAAGGTATATCATAATGAAGTTGTTGAAAACCAGAGAAAATTTTAATTGGAGTTGGAGAAAAAAGGCATATGCCATACAGAGAAATTAAGATAAGAATAACTACATATTTCTTTTTTTAAGGCACAAGTTAAGAACCTTGGCATAACATCTTGAAAGTACCAAAAGAAAAAAAATAACCTGTTGACCTAGAATTCTATATTCAGCAAAAATATTCTTCAAATAGGAAGGTGAGAAAATACTTTCAGACAGAGAAAAGATGAGAGAATGTATTGCCAATAGACATGTTTTATAAGAAATGTTAAGGACCAGTGAACAGAGAAGAGTTAAGAAATGGACCCATGCATATATGGACAGATTGACTTTTGACAGAGGGGCCAAAGTAATTCAATAAGGAATAGATAGTATTTTCAATACATGGATTAGCTGTATATCATAGGAGAAATAGACCTCAACTGTTACCTCACACCATATATAATTTTCATGCAAAATTTAGATTATAAAATGAATCAGACCTAAACAAAACTAAAACTAGAAATTCTAGGAAAAAATGGGAGAAATTATTTGCTATCTTGGGATTGGCAATGATTTCTTGGGACATAGAATGCATGAACCATGAAAGAAAAAAGTTCATCAATTGGAACTTACTAAAACTCTTTGAGAGTGACTGAGTCAATTTGTAGGAATGAAATAGCATGTATTAACTTTGCTAAACAAAATTAGCTGCATGCCATTCTGTTTGTCTTATTTTTTCCTCTTGTTCATGGTGTGTTAATTCTTGCCATAAGCAATATAGCAAAGAAAAAAATAATGTATGCCCCTTTCACCAACAGTTGCATAAAATGTCTATTTCAATTTATCTTGAAGCTTTTTATATTCTCGATTTTCATCTTGTACTTACAAGAAATAGAAGAGAAAGGCCATTCAAGAATTATATCTGAATACAAAAAAAATTTTTAATGCCATCAGTAAGAGTTAGAAAGCAATTCACAGATTGGGAGAAAATACATATATTTGTTGAAGGACTTGTATCTAGGACATATAAATAATGCTTAAAGCTCAATAATGAAAAGTCAAAGAGCCTAATAAATATTAGACAATAGGTTTTAATAAAAGATTCTTTATAAAAAGTATTCAAGTTGCCAAGGACACTTCATGCCTTTAGTCACTGATATGGAAAACAGAACTACAAGATACCACTACAAACCCACTAGGATGGCTTAAATAATAATAACTACTGCCAACACCAAGTGTTGATGACAATACAGAGCAACTGGAACTCTCAAACATTGTGAAGTACAAAATGGTGCAACCACTTTGAAAGATAGTTTGGCAGTCTCAAAGTTAAGTATACACGATTTTGTTCACAAAGGGTAAGGAGAAAAATGTGCACTGACCATAGGATTCAGTAATTCTACTCCTAGTTATTTACCCAAGAGAAGTGAAAACATGCAGCCACACTTTGTGCACGATGTTTATAGCAGCTTTTTAAAATGACTTCACCCAAATGTTCAGTAGATGAGTGGATAGACAAGTGAGTGCCAGATATAAAAGAGTACTTATTTTACTTATTGCATGATTCCGTTTCTGTGAAATTCTAGAAAAGGTAAAACTAGTCTACAATGACAGAAAGGAAATTGCCTGTCACTGAGGTAGAGATTGCAGGGATGGGTTTGGGGTGGGGAGTTTGACTACTAAGGTATACAAAGGAGGCTTTAAAAATTTTTTTTTCAGACACAGGGTCTTGCTATGTTCTCCAGGCTGATCTTGAACTCCTTGGCTCAAGTAATCCTCCTGCCTCAGTCTTCCAAAGTGTTGGAACTACAGACGTGAGCCACTACGCCTGCCCCAAAGGAGGTTTTGAGAGTGACAAAAGTTGTATTAATATATATCTTGATTGCAGTGGTGGCCATATGGTTTTATACAGTTGTGACTCATCAAACTGTACACTTAGAATGGGAGTATTTTATTATATTAACTATTATACCGATTCTATGCAAATTATGCCTAAATAAAGTTTATAGCAAGAAAATGTTTAGCAATAAAAATTACAGAAAAATAAGCTCCAATGATTTTATTTTTAGGAAGTATAAAAAAACTAATCTATATTTCATCTACTCTTAGATTTAATCTTCATGTAATTTAACCTAATCTCATATGAAATACATACAAATAGATAAGGTACCTAGCATTCAAAAGAAAAATGCAGCCAATTAAGCTATCACTTGCCATCAATTTTCAGAAGTGTCTCCAAAGATTTTTAAATAGATGAGAAATGCGTTATTTAGAACCAATATGGATTTTTATTTGCCAACTATACCTCAATAAAGCCAGGAGGAAAGAGTATCTGATGCCCAAATTATGGTCTTTTTATGTGGTTTCCCAATAAAACGGAACCAGCTTTGGGAACAATTTCAGGCTTTTGCAAAACAATAGATGAATGATTGAATAAATAAATAAGCAAGATTAGCCTGAGAGAGATTCTTGGGCCAGAAGGCAGAAAGCAAGGATACTATCCAAGATGACTGGAATAATGTTGAAAGGACACAAGGACCACCCTGAAGGGCTAATGTGACCACTGGTAAGAGTAGTGATCATCTGGGACTGGAATATATATATATATATTTTTTTTTTTTTTCTTTTTTTTTTGAGTTGGGAGTCTCACTTTGTCATCCAGGCTGGAGTGCAGTGGCATGCTCATGGCCACAGCAGCTTTGACCTCTGGGCTCAGGTGTGCCTTCCACTTCAGCCTTCCAAGTAGCTGGAACCACAGACATGCGTCACCATGCCTGGCTAATTATTATAGAGACGAGGTCTCTAAGTTGCCCAGAGACTAAGTTGCCCAGGCTGGTCTCGAACCCCTGGACTCAGGCAATCCTCTCGCCTCTGCCTCCCAAAATGCTAGAATTATAGACGTGAGCCACTGCACCCAGCATGAAACATATATTTTTAAAAGTTCCTAATAAAACTACAAACACAAACATTATTGGATAATTTTGGAAGTCTCTGGGGGTACTAACTCATTTTATTATTCTAAAACTTGATGAGAATGAAAAGTCAAGCATTTATTATGCCTTTCATGTACAAAATTATTCCAGCTATTTATTGCTGCATAACCCAAAATTTAGTAACTTCAAACAACAATCATTTATTTTATTCATGAATCTTGGGAATTTGGGCAGGGTTTGATTTGGCAATTGTTTTGCTCCCAGTTGTAGGGTAACTTGGGGATGTCCAGCCAAAGGGTAGGCTAGTGTGGAAGATTCAGCATGGCTTTACTCACATGTCTGGCACCTTACTGGGGATGACCAGGTGGCTGGATGCAACTGGGTCACTTTGGTCCCTCACCTATATTTAAATATTTTCCCCAAAATTATGTTAGTTGTGAATAAAATATAAATTGGCATATCCTCTGATTTCCCAGAAAAAATTTCCTGTCATATCAGTGTAACCAACTTGTCCCTGCTATAATGAATTGTTTCATGAAACATGTTGGCCATTTGAGTTTATAAGGTACATGCTCTAGGGTATTTCTCTTGACTTCTAGCGCTTATCCTATGAACCGTACAACCCAACTACTCAGTGTTTCTTTTTCATCTATCTTTCTGCTCTTGCAGCCTTTGCAAAGAAAGGACTTTGGACTTAAGCAGACACGCTGATCTACTTAACCACTTATCTTGTTAGATCTAATTAACTACTTAACGTTTTAGAAGCTAAAAAGCTTCCAAGAGATCTCTTTGATATAGACTTCTATTCTTATTTCAAAATTTCCATTGAGTAGGTATTCTTACGTTGACAGAATTCCAAAGTTGTAAATAACTCCAGAAATATATCAAGTATCAGTGTGTATATTACACTGAATTTTTAGTAATTTGACATGTCCTCAAGATAGTCACAGATTCAGCCACTTGAGCTAATTTGGCTTATGGTAAGAAATTGAATTTTATCACAGTGACTTATGTAGCCAGCCTTATATTTTCCCTACTTTTTAAATAAGATAAAACACATGAGCAAATTATATCAACTCTGAATTTGGGGTGTTCAAAAGATCTGTTGTGGTATAGGCACTTCTTGAACTACGGAATACTATTATGAGATTGTCTTTCATCAGGTAGGGGTAACAGTTTCTTTTGTACTAATGAGTGGTGATGTGATAGAAAGTAACACTTATAATCAGATAAATCCATTGGCAGAAAAATGCTGGTTGTTCTCAGCAGCAAGGTCTGCACTACATGCAGTACCATCATATTTAAAGATGATCCTAGTACATGATTTGGAGAAATCTTCACAAAATTGCTGAAGCTACAGTATCTAAACAAGGAGAAGAAATGGCTGTTTGATGAGTTACAGCCCCCAGAGGGGAACTTCATCTTCTTACACACCTACAGAACTGAACTGTGATGGTAATCTCGAAAGTGTCCATGAATTCT